TAGCATGCTGTACCACATTAACTGTGTTATATCCGCATATTTAGAAAGGCTACAACAGAAAAATAAAAACACTACCAGTAAGGGGCCTTTCAGATTTTTGCTCTAGGAAGTAGCACTGTGGCTCAAAGTGACAAAGCACTAGTCTTGAGCAGAGAAGCTCAGGGACAGCGCCCAGGTACTAGGTTCAAGCCCCATGACCTACCAAAAATAACTTCATAAGATTCTTGTTCTTCAAGAGTCCTAGGGATGGTGCTGGGAAGGTGGCTCAGTGGTAGAGCGCTTGCCTTGCATGCGTGAGGCCCTGGGTTTGATTTCTCAGCACCACATAAGCAGAAAAAGCCGGAAGTGGGGCTGAGGCTCAAGTGGTGGAGCACTGGTCTACAGCTGAAGAGCTGGGGGACGGCGCTCAGACCGAGTTCAGGCCCCACAACCAACAACAACAACAAGAGTCCTAGGGAAAATGGAGGAACCTAGAACAAATTAAAGTGAGGGAAGCCAAACTCAAAGAGACAAACCACATGTTTTCCCTGGTATGCAGAAGCTAAATCTGAAATATACTAGAACACAAAAAGTTATATAGGCATCTAGGTACTCACACACGATGAGACCAAAGGAAAATTATATAGGCATCTAGGTATTCACACACGATGAGACCAAAGGAGGGCGTTTTTGGTGGAGGAACACAACGGCACGATGCCTGCGTGCATCTGATCAAATAAAATGACATCTATTGAAATGAAGCCCAGGCAATAGGAAGAGGGTTGTTCCTTTGTTGCCATTTTTGTTTTCTTTTTGTTTTGTTTGTTAATTTATCTGTCTTTGGGAGGGTGAGGGGGAACGCAGAAATGAAGGACAAAGAGTGAATAAATGTAGCAGTGTACTCGCTAGACGCTATGATGAAAATGAAACCCACAACTGTGGGAAAGAAAAACTGGGAGAGCGCGGAGGGGAGAGGTGGCAGTGCCAAGAAGAAAGGTACTCCTGGGCTGGGAAGGTGGCTCAGTGGCAGAGCGCTTGCCTTGCATGCCTGAGGCCCTGGGTTCGATTTCTCAGCACCACATAAGCAGGAAAAAAAAAGCCGGAAGTGGCGCTGTGGCTCAAGTGGTAGAGCACTAGCCTTGAGCTGAAGAGCTGAGGGACAGCGCCCAGGCCCAGAGTTCAGGCCCCACGACCAGACCCAAAAAATAAAATAAATAAATAAATAAAAAGTTTCTGCCCAGCAGAGGACATAGCTACTAAACTAGAAAGACAGCCAACAGACTGGGAGAAGATCTTTGCCAGCTACAGAGCCAATAAGGGCCTAATACCCAAAATATTCAAGGAGCTCAAGAAGCAAACCTCACCAAAATTATTAACCCAAACAATAAATGGGCAAAGGAGCTAGATAGAGATTTCTCTGAAGAAGAAAAAGTGGCCAATAGATACATTAGGATACCTTCAACATCCCCAGCCATAAATAAAATGCAAATCAAAACAACACTGAGAGCCGGGCACTGGTGGCTCACGCCTGTCATCCTAGCTACTCAGGAGGCTGAGATCTGAGGGTCACAGTTCAAAGCCAGCCCAGGCAGGAAAGTCTGAGAAACTCTTATCTCCAATGAACCACCAGAAAACCAGAAGTGGCGCTGTGGTTCAAGTGGTAGAACATTCGCCTTGAGCTGAAGAGCTGAGGGAAAGCGCCCAGGCCCAGAGTTCAGGCCCCATGACTAACAAAAAAAAAAAAAAAAAAAGCACTGAGATTCCATCATACCCAGTAAGATCAGTCAGCATTGAGAATTCAAACAATAATAAATGCTAGCTGGGATGGGGAGAAAAAAAACCCTGTTGCACTGTTGGTGGGAATGCAAACTAACACAACCACATCGGAAGATGGTTTGGAGGTTCCTCAAAAAACTAAGCATAGATCTTCCCTATGTCCCAGCCATGCCGCTCCTGGGCATCTACCCAGATCACTACATATATCACTGTTACATGTATTATATGTATAATGGCATTTTACTCATCCATTAGAAAGAATAATACTATGCTGCTTTTAGGGAGACAGATGGACCCAGAATGAGTCCTGCTGAGTAAGCCATGCTCAAAGAGACAAACGGTGTGTATTTTTTTCTCACAGGTGGAAGCTAGATCTAAAACACAACTGGACATGATAACCCATATAGCACTCAAAATATTTACACACACACAACTGACTAAAGGAGGGTTTGCTAGGTGCCGCGGACCGGGTTCTGTCGGGACGACGGAGGATACCTAGGGGAGGAACCTGGAATAGGATGGGGAGATGGCAAACAGACAACTCACACACATTAGGAGTGGATGCTGAGTGCTGAGCGCTGAGTGCGATTTAATGCAGAGGATAACAAACTTTTATAGCAAAAAGTCTCCATAAGAAAGGGCAAAAGGTTACATAATCTTGCTGCATGGCTTCATTCTTGGGCGGTCACCAGCTGGTCACCTGAAAGGGCAAAAGGTTACACAACCTTGCTGCAGGGCTTCGTTCTTGGGTGGTTACCAGCTGGTCGCCTGATAGGCACATGTTTTCCGGCTTATCTCTAAGAAATATAATGGGTTTTGATGTTTGTCACCAACTAACCATTACATTATTTCTTTAGAGGCCTTAACCTTCCCATAAGATCTTTTCTGTTCCTTCTTTAATAGTAAACACCAAGGAGACTTAGATCTAGCAAGTCTCTTAGTAAATGAAAGAGTAATAGGAAGTTCTTTCTCCTAAGTAGTTATCTCAGCAATTGCCATTCTTTGTTTTAGCCGCACCTACAGCTTTTTGTAAATCTCTTACAAACAGTTCCTTCTGCAGAAGTGACTTTGTGAAACCCCCAATACTTTTATATTTGCTTATGGCTTGTCTACTAGCCTCCATAAGAGGGGGTTCAGGGGAGCACTTAACTCCGGTGAGTTAGTCATATTTTTAAGACACTCATCAGATATTGGAGTCGTCAACACTCTTAAGAAAGAGCTTTAAATAAGGGAAACATTGACAATGAGCAAGTACAAAGAGCAGTAGAAACAGTAAAAGATTAGTAGGCACTCTTATGAGGAAAAGATAGGCAGAAACACATCTTTCCCAGGGGCTTGCCAGCCTTTTCCCAGGAGTAGGCCTCTTAGAATCCCTATTCTCCAAGGTAGACTTCGGTGAAGTCCCAAAACTTGGAGATAGGTTTCTGTAAAGCCCCATTCTCTGAGGTAGACTTCGGTGAAGTCCCAAAACTCAGAGATAGGTCTCTGAAGCCCCTATCATGGTCTGATAGATGGTTTCCCATGCTAAGCAGACTCCACTGGGGTCGGCGTGGCATTTGCTAGGGGAGGAATCCAAAGGTGTAACTTCTCTGAACTACTAATGTACCGTGTGTCCAAATAAATACCAGGAAATGGAAACATTTTTGGAGGGTGGGCAGAGGGGGCTCAGGAACGCAGGGAGGGAGGGTGAGCAAATGTCATTATATTCAGTATTCACTATGTGAAAAACAAACTATATAACTAACCTGTGGGCAGGGATGGGAGGGAGAAGATGGGGAAGAAGGAAGAGGCACACCACCCACCAAGAGGCACCGCTCTCCTTCCCTGGCCTTGGAAGTGTGATCCCTTTGTACAACTATTTAATAGCAATTAAAAAAAAAAAAACAAAGACTTTGCTCTTCAGTCTTCAGCTGACTGGATGAGGCCCCCCCCATACGATGGAGGCAACCTCTTCTTCCAAAATATGCTTGCAACAATTTCTAGAGCAGTATTTGGCCAAGTGCCTGGGCAAGCCGGCCTACCAACACCCGACAACGTGTAACCATCATAGAGGACATCAACTCAAAAAGAGGCCGGGCAGAGATACCTTGTCAAGTTCCAGAGTGGTAGGGTGGAGGAAAAGCCCTGCTCCGTGGGCTGTGGGCCGGAGTAACTCAGCCAGCACTGGAGCATCACAGCCCCACCGGCCCCCCATTGTGAGGTCCGGGTGGAATGCTCAACTCAGACAGACCCCAGGCCTCACTGCCCACCCCCTCCCGCCCCACCTCCACTCGGTGGGAGTCTGCCCTCTGCCCGCTCGCCTGTGTCCAGACTTCACCCTCTGAGTCCTGTCCTGTGGAAAGGTCTGCTCTCTGCCCACTCGCCTGTGTCTGGACTTCATCCTCTGAGTCCTGTCCTATGGAAAGGTCGGGGAGCAGACTGCCCAGAGCCAGGAGGGCATGAGGGTCTGGCCTCCCCTGAATCCCACAGCCAGCTGGTGGCGCCCCGTGTGGCCGGCTCTGAGGGAAGGGAGGGAGGCGGAGAGGACTCGGCGTGAGGGAGGGCGTGCCAGGAGTCTTGAGCTCTTGGAGCCAGGTGAGAAAGGCCAGGAGCAGAGCTCCAGGTACGGGGAGGCTCCGCCCAGATGTGGACCGGGCTGCGGGAAGCCAGGGGCCTGGCTGAGGGAGTCCCAGGACCACCTGCCAATCCCCGATTCAAGGTGCCCAGGGCCAGAAGAACCTGGGCATCCAAGGCATAGCCTTCTCGGGAGGACGCCAGCAGGTCAGATCCAGGCGTGCCCAGGAAGGCAAGAAAAAGGGCACCGTGGAAGAAGGCAGCGGGCGTGTCTCCCTTGGCTCCCTACCATGCCAAGCCGGGCAGTCCCAGGGGACCGGCATCACCCTGCCCCCACCGTAACGCCGGGGACAGAGTGAAGAAGCTAATGCGCTCCAGCGTGGGGTACACCCCACGCCTCGGGACAGCAGGGAGCTCCATGTAGGGGAACGGAGGCCTCGGAGGGTGCGGAGGGCAAAGCGGGCCAGACAGGGAGGTCAGAGCATTCCACGCCGACCAGGGCCAGAGGCCGGGGCTGAGCCGGCCAACGCAGGGGCAAAGAGGAGGGCACAGCCGCTGACCTCACAATACCCAGCACCTGCTGGGCCAGCCTTGCAGAGCACCAGGTCCTCTTCCAGCCCGGGCCAGGCCCGGGCCCCTGGGCAGCCTCCGGGTGCAGTGCCCCCGCTGTGCCCTCGCCACTCCCCCGGGGCATGTCTCTACCCATCAATTATGAGGGTCTTCGGCACCAGATAGAGAAGCTGGTGCGGGAAAATGAGGAACTGAAGAAGCTGGTGCGGCTCATCCGGGAGAATCACGAGCTCAAATCTGCAATCAAGACTCAGGCAGGCAGCTTCAACAGCGGGCTCTGCGACGTGGCCACAGGGACGCCCCAGAATCCAGGTAACCACGTCGGGGGGCGAGGCTGCCCAGAAAGGGCCGTTCCCTGTGGGGGACACAGACCCACAGGTGGGAAGGGTAAACCCCGGCCTAATTCCACCCCCCTCGGTCCCTCCTCCCCATGCAACACCAAGACTGCAAACCTCCCACCTGTGGAACCCAAGCCTGCCACCCGCCAGACCCAGCCTGGCACAAGCCCTGGAGCCCCCCGCTGGGCTCCCTTACCGCAGCCTTTCCCAGCGCTGGCCACGTGCGCGTCCACTTCCTCCCTGGTAATTCTCCACTTAGAGATGGCCACTCACGCGTGGAATCTGAAACAAGAGCTAGAACTTGAGGCTTGGGATTTGTGAGTGTGTGACCGGTGGCTGAAGCTGGGGCTGCTGGGGGAGGGCGACACAGAGGCAGACAGCAGCTGGGGGTTCAGGGGAAAGCTGAAGGATGGTCCACAGGCTCAGCCTGAGAAGAGGGGCTTCGGGGTGGCGTCTGAGGCCTCACTGTGAGGGAGAGGTGGAGGAATGGAAGCCAGGTCAGCCCTGTGGGAGAGCTGGAGGAATGGAAGCCAGGTCAGCCCCGTGACGTCTCGGGAGTCTTGAGCGGCCCTTGGAGCCGGTGAGTCGGTGGCCACCGAGGGTGTGAGCAGAGTGACAAAACACTGGCGCCTATTACTTCCGCGCCGCAATGTCCCTCCTGTGCTAGAGACAGATGCGTTCCCTCCTCCAAGGGTGGGCACTTCCGCCGAGCCCGCGTGCCTGACCTCTGTCCATGCCTGTGCCCCAGGGTCCCCACCTGGCTCATCAGGCCTAAAACTTCCTCCTTGCCGAGAGCAAGACTGCTCTTTTGTGCTCTCTGATGAGTTATGCCTCTCAGGCTTGGTAACACCCCAACACGGACATTCTAGAAAGGTGTTGGGGGCTTCCTGAGGGCTGCCTGAGCCTGCCAGGTGAACGCTGACGGCTCTTCCTGAGCCCAAGCAGGCCCTACCCTCAGCCAACCGTTCCTGCACCACGGCAACTCTGAGGGCTCTGCAGGCCCCGGGGCCCGAAGCCTGGCCTTCTGCACCCCAGACACCAGTCCGAGAACTGCAGTCCCAGAGGCCCCTGCTCTCTCCTCTGCCGGCCCCTCCCTCAGCTGGCTACACCCAGCCTGGCAGGGCCAACTTCCCCAGGCCTGGTCGCTAGTGCACGAGCCTCTCCTGGCTTTCAGACAGGAGGGTGCTCCCTTCCTCCTACACCGAAATGGAGCTCTGACCCCGACGCGGACGGCATGCAGACCTGTCCAGTGTTCCCTATTTCCATAAGCCAAACTCAAAAGACAAATGCCTCACATTTTACTCATTAGCTGATTCTAAACCTAAAATACCAACAACAATATGCCATGATTGTAACACGATTGAAACAGAGAGGCTGTTCACTGGCGTGACCCACAGTGGAGAGAGGGAGAGTGGAAGGGCGAATATCACAGACGTGCAGTTCATGCACACGTAAAAACAGCAGAACGGAATGCGCTGAGATCGTTTTAAAGGATGGAGGAGAGGATTAAAAAAGTAGATTTGTCATACCACATCAAAACCCCTTGTACAATCAATTTATGCTAGTAAGAAAAGAAGCTGGGTGCTGGCGGCTCACACCTGTAATCCTAACTACTCCGGAGGCTGACATGTGAAGGTTATCACTCAAAGCAGTGCAGGCGGGAAAGTCTGTGAGACTCTTATCTCCAGATAATTACCAAAAGCCAGAAGTGGAGCTGGCACTCAAGTAGCCTTGACTAAAACAGCTTAGGGATAGCGCCCGGCCCTGAGGTCAAGCCCCAGAATCGGCCCCCACACACAGACACACACAGTGTGAAAAAATAAAATAATATTCCCCAGGAGCTGTGATGTTTAAGAAATCACACAGTTTAAGAATTTAGACTCTGGGCTGGGGTATAGCTCACATTTGCTGTGCAAATGTGAGGCCCTGGATTCAGTCTCCACTATGGAGAAAGAAGAAGGGAGGAGAAAAGCTAGCCTCTGACTTACTACTCGTGTGATGACCAGACAAGCCTTAGATTTACTTTATTTCTCACTAGATAGCCCCGACTGGCCTCCAGGGCATGCGGCTCCCACTTCAGCCTCCGGGTGCTGGGGCTACACATTCATGACACCACTGGCTTTTAGATTTCTTTTCTCTTTTATCTTTTTTTGGTGCCAGTCCTGGGGCTTGAACTCAGGGCCTGGGTGCTGTCCTAAACATCTATGCTCAAGGCTAGCATTCTACCACTTGAGCCACAGCTCCGCTTCTGACTTTTTGGTAGTTTATTGGAGCTAATAGACTCTCCTGTCTGGGCTGGCTTTGAACTATGATCCTCAGATCTGGGCCTCCTGAGAAATTAGAAGGGGGAAGCCGAGAGCATTCCAGAAGGAATGCAATTGGGGGGTGGCAAGAATGAAATCTACATGAGTGGATTTCAGCTCAGACTTTGTGTGTGAGCATGCATGTGCGTGGTATGCCATGATGGGTGAGTGTGGAGCGTACCGTACGGGTACATGACTGAGACGTGTGTTGGGTATGCACATGTGTGTGGAAACTCGTGTGTGAATAGGTGAGAATGCAGTGTTTGTGTGTGAGCTAAGGTGTGTGACACATGCATGCATGTGTGTGTTAGGTATCCACGTGTGTGACTGTGTTGTTTATGGGTGTGTGTTAGGAGTGGTGATACAACAAAGAGCCTAGACTTTTCCCTAAGGAGAAACATGATTTCTAACAGGGAGTAATTATGTTTGTGCTCAGCAGGATCATTCCAGCTGCTGTGTGGAAGCAGGTCTGAGGGGCTGGGCAGACATCGTTAGGCTGTGGTCACTCCAATGGGAGTGGACAGCAGGATGGCAGGTGGGGGCGATGCATTCATTGAGTAAAAACCAGAAACCCTGACTTCTTGACTGTAAGTTGCCACCCTGCCTGAGGTGGCCGGGTGGCCAGTGCCGCCACTTCCTGAGGACACACAGCTCACCTCAGCCTGCTAAGGTGGGCCCTTAGAGTTGCTCCACAGGATATCCTGGGGCCGTTTCCCCACCCTGTTGCTTCCCCAGCTTGCTTCTGAGCACAACCTTCCTCTTAGAGCCAGTCTCTGTCTTTTTTTTTTTTTTTTTTTTGGTCGGTCGTAGGGCATGAACTCTGGGCCTGGGCGCTGTCCCTCAGCTCTTCAGCTCAAGGCTAGCCCTCTACCACTTGAGCCACAGCACCACTTCTGGCTTTTTTCTTTTTGTTTATGTGGTGCTGAGAAGTCGAACCCAGGGCCTCAGGCATGCAAGGCAAGCGCTCTACCACTGAGCCACCTTCCCAGCCCCATCACTGCTGAGTTTTCTTTGGCTGCTTTCTTTGGATTGCAGACTTGAGCAGTTGTGACAGAGACCACATGGCTGGCAGAGCTGGAAGTATTTACCACCTTAACTTCTGCAGAAAATGATCGCCATCCTTGATCTATGTAAACATGTTAAGCACATTTTCCAAGAAATAAGGTTTAGTCTCTGATAGTGACTGACCAGGTCTACCAGTAATTCTTATTCTCTCTTTTTTTTTCCTTTTTCTGGTCCTGAGGCTTGAACTCATGGCCTAGGTACTGTCCCTCAGCTGTTGTGGCTCTACTTGAGACACAACTCTGCTACCAACTTTTTTAAATTAATTGGCAATCAGGAGTCTCAGACTTTCCTGCCCGGGCTGGCTTTGAACCACAGCTCTTAGATCTCAGCCTCCTGTATAGCTAGGATTACAGGTGTGAGCCACTAGTACCCAGCATTATTTGTGCTCATCCCCTATTTGCGCTCAGCTATAACCACATACTTATTGCTTTTATAACAGTAACAACCAGTTGGAAATTTCCAGGGATTGGAGGTGTGGTTCATGCATGAGGTCCTGAGAGCTATCCCCAGCACCACAAATTGAAGGGGAAGGGAGTGTGTGTGTGTGTGCGTGTGTGTGTGTGCGTGCTTGCGCATGCACACGCGAGTGCATGTTCACGTCCACTTAGGAGATTCCCCAAGTACAGAAACTCTCCCTGCTCTCTGGCCCACTAGCAATTGTGCCTCCAAGGGGCTTCTCCCCAAGCAGTGGTTTATCTTCTCCAGAGCTGATGGAGAATGGAGAACGGCTGGGGCTCCCAGCCCCGGGCTGGGCCTGGCTGGGTTCATGGCTGGGTCCACTCTGCCTTCATGCACCTGCCTTCCCCGTCAGGTGGCCTGTGCGGTCCAGGACCACACGAGACTCTGCCTGCTGGCCCAGGCCTCCCGGGAGGACCCTGCCTCGTAGGGCCATCAGGACGATGGTCCGAGGCCTAGACCCTGCTTGCCAGCTTGGTCACCTGAGAGTCCAGCCACTAAGATCTCCTCTCCTCCAGCTCAGCGCAGGGATTCAGTTGAGGGTGGGTTCCAGAGCACAGGTAGGTACAGAGGAGGAAAGCCCAGAGAGGAAGGGCTGGGAACTGAGGCCCAGCGGCTGACTCACCTGCATCCTCTGATGTGGAAGCAGCAGATCTTCAGGTCTTCAGCTGCTCAAGTCCCCTGGGGCGTCACCTAAGAAGGAAGGCTCCCAAGGGGTTAGGTCAGAGGCAGATCAGGACCTTGGCCAGGCCATGCCAGAGCACCAGGGCCTCCCCGGGGTCCCAGCTGGCTCCCCGAGGGCCTCCCCTGGTCTCCCCCCCAGGGCTTCTCCCTGGTCTCCCCCCCAGAACCTCTCCTGGGTCTCCCCCGGTCCCCCCAGGACCTCCCCTGGGTACCCCCAGGACCTCCCCCGGTCCCCCCAGAACCTCCCCTGGGTCCCCCCAAGGACCTCCCCCGGGTCTCCCCCCAGGACCTCCCCCAGGACCTCCCCGGGTCTCCCCCAGGACCTCCCCGGGTCTCCCCCAGGACCTCCCCGGGTCTCCCCCAGGACCTCCCCCAGGTCTCCCCCAGGACCTCCCTGGGTCTCCCCCAGGACCTCCCTGGGTCTCCCCCAGGACCTCCCTGGGTCTCCCCCAGGACCTCCCCCAGGACCTCCCTGGGTCCCCCCCAGGACCTCCCCCAGGTCTCTCCCAGGACCTCCCCCAGGACCTCCCCCGGTCTCCCCCAGGACCTCCCCGGGTCTCCCCCAGGACCTCCCCGGGTCTCCCCCAGGACCTCCCTGGGTCTCCCCCAGGACCTCCCCCAGGACCTCCCCGGGTCCCCCCCAGGACCTCCCTGGGTCTCTCCCGGTCTCCCCCCAGGACCTCTCCCGGTCTCCCCCCAGGACCTCCCCCGGTCTCCCCCAGGACCTCCCCCGGTCTCCCCCAGGACCTCCCCGGGTCCCCCCAAGGACCTCCCCCAGGACCTCCCCCGGGTCTCCCCAGGACCTCTCCCGGGTCTCCCCCGGATCTCTCCAGGACCTCTCCCGGGTCTCCCCCGGATCTCTCCAGGACCTCTCCCGGGTCTCCCCCAGGACCCCCCCCCCGCCAGCCCCGTCTCAGCGCGCTCTCTACCCCCCAGGTGTCTTCCTGCCCGCCGTGGCCGCGACCGAGCCGGCCCTGGAGGAGCTGGGGGTGGTGGCGCTGGCCGACATGCTGAGCGGCCCGCAGCCGGGGCCCTCGGCCG